TATATATATATATATATATATATATATTAAGAGTCTTAATTATTAAGAAGATAGTTAATTAAGTGTTCTTTTGACCACCAGGTAGTTAAGGGAGAAAAGATTGGAAATATATAAGAAGTGTGGAGATCTAAGTTTCATTTTTATTACCATCATTTTTATAATTTTTTTTTCATCTTTACTTAAAAAAAATTAAATTGTTACCTAAGAAATTATTAATAAATAATTTGTTTACCATGATATTGTATTGAAAATCACAAGAAAGTATATTAATTAGTAAAAAATTTTATATAAAAAAATATTTTTTAATTATTTAGTTATTGTCCTTAAACATTTAACTAACATTTCTTCATTAGTTAATAAAGTGACTTTTATCGACATATACTCATTTGAGTTCTAGAACTTTTAAGTTTAGGCTTGTGAATAGACATTGTTTTCGTTTTGTCTTTTTTATTCTATTCACAGTTGTGATATAAAACATTCGAATTTGGATTTAAAATTTGAAAGATATTTCAAACTCATCTATTATATATATATAAGCGGGCCACAAAAATAATATAAATTAATTGAAATTTTATATATAATGCTATACTGTGAATCTTATTCATAGATAACCAAGATTTATTTTATTATTGTAGTAGTAATTAATATTTTTTATCACCTAAAAATATTATTTAACTCTTTTTAATTAAATAAAATTTTAAGTTTCAATTCTGTTATTAAACGAATAAAAAAATAGGAAAATAATTGTTTACTACATATGATTACCACCTTTAATTTTAACAGAAGCAACTTTTCTTCTCAATTCAGTTTGTACAACTCTAGTACTACAAAATTTTCAACACGAATCATTAATTTTGACAATACGAATGTTTAAATTTAAGATAAATTTAATTTTAATTTCTTAAGTTTAAAATTAATATTTTTAGTCCTATATTTTTTTTTAAAAAAAAACTTATTATCTTAAAATATTACATATTAGTCATTTCTACAAACTTATTACTTCTAGTAAGCTAAGCATGTACAAAGTAGCTCATCATTATTGCAACATGCAAGCTTACTATCTCTTACAAGTACAAAACAAATGATTACCAGCAAAATGTCCAGGCCACTTATGTGTATATGTGACACATTTCCATCTATAATACAAGAAACAAAGAAACTTAAATATAACTCATAACTCATTCCTTCTAATGAGTTGGAAGCTTGAGAGATTTATGTAATACCCAACTTGATCAAGCTGAAAAGGCCTTTTCCTACTCGTCCTCACTAGACCTCCAACCCATCATCATAAAGTGAAATTCTAGGTGGTAACTTTTAACGGCTAGTAGGATATCTTGACATGAATATCTTATAAAATATCATAATCAAACATATTATATCTATCTAACGGAATACCTTCATCATCAAAAAATAATATATTAGAAAATTTGAGATTTAATAAAGTGAGAGAAAATTAATCTAAGGGTTATATTTTAACCCTCTCATCCTCTCATAATAAATTCCTCTCATTTGATATGCTCCCTATATATATGATTAATCTAAGGGTTATATTTTAACCCTCTCATCCTCTCATAATAAATTCCTCTTACTTGATATGCTGAGAGAAAATTAATCTAAGGGTTATATTTTAACCCTCTCATCCTCTCATAATAAATTCCTCTCATTTGATATGCTCCCTATATATATATATATATATAATCTTTTCAAATACGATACAATGTTCTTATAGTTATCGTTTTTCAAATAAGTGCATTCATTTCGTAGGTTGTCATGTATATATAAGACATATTAAGTGAAAATTATTCTTATTGTGAAAAACGAAAAACATAAATTTTGATACATAAATGGTCAAACATTTAATACACAGATGGTCAAACATAAAAATTAGTTAGTGGCTCACATAACCACTTAAAAAGTCAAGTTTAATTTTCTCTTAAATATGATCTAGTGACTTATATTTATTTATATTTTTTTTATCCATAATGATCTGTATTTGAGAAGTGTTAGTAAAACCTTTTTAAACACGTTACAAATATTTATTAAAAAATATATACAAAATCAGGATAAAGAAATTTATTAAAAAAGAAATTAGTAAGTCCACAATATCTATGTTTTTCTTAATAAATATTGACTAATTAATTGTCTAGAGTTTATTTTAAAGGATTTGTTAGATAGTATATTATTAATTAGAGATAGTACAAACAATATGTCAGTACAATAAATTACACTATTAACCAATAATTATAAATTTTACAGTACATTATTTTTTCCCTCTAAAATAACTTAATTAACAAAAGAGATACATAATTATGAGCATAATAAAAAATGTTTTAAATTATAATAGAAAACTCTTGTATCTAATAATTTAAATTAAATATGTTTTACAATAAACATAACTTAGAAGAAACAAATGATATCAATATAAACATGATGTAATATTATTATATTATATTTTTAATGTCTACGTACATATAATATTAAATTTTACATACCTGAATTGTCATGTATGTATGATATGCTGCTGTTCAAATTTCCAAGCCAAATTTTCTTATCAAATGTTATATAAATTGATCTCAGCAACGG